ACCTTTATTAGCGCAGAGGGTAATTTCTCAGCTTAGCAAACCAGAGTACTTTCCCTCTGCATTCAAATGTGAGCCTTCAGAGATGAGCCCACAAACTAGATCCAGTCTTCTCAAGTGTTTCTGGCTAATTTTGTGTGTGACACAGAATGCAGTAGGATAAATACTATTTCAAAACTTTTATTGTGTTTAAATTTGTTACTAGGCTATGATTAAAAACGTACTTCTTGGCCAGGCGTGGTGGCTCACGCCTGTAAACATAGCATTCTGGGAGGCCAAGGCGGGTGGATCACGAGGTCAGGAGATCGAGACCATCCTGGCTAACAAGGTGAAACCCCGTCTCTACTAAAAATACAAAAAATTAGCCAGGCGTGGTGGTGGGCACCTGTAGCCCCAGCTACTCGGGAGGCTGAGGCAGGAGAATGGCGTGAACCTGGGAGGCAGAGCTTGCAGTGAGCCGAGATGGCGCCACTGCACTCCAGCCTGGGCGACAGAGTGAGACTCCCTCAAAAAAAAAAGAGTATTTCTTACTGTGGCATGCAATAAAGTTTGAAAGCCATCGCCTAGTCCTTACAGGCACATGAGATGTCTGAGCAAGGAAGGCACAGGAAAGCACAGGGTTTTCCCAGCCTAACGACGAGGAGTGAGGAATTCCTGCCAAAGACAGAGTCTAGCCACCCATGAGGCTGATTCCTTATTAACTGGTAAATTTCTTAAAAAGCTCAACTCTTTTGGCCAGCACAGCTGGAGGGTAGTAAGCAAGAGGAAGACTGGAATAAAGCTGAAGAGGCAGGCAGGAACCAGATCACATATCCACTTGTAGACATACTATGGTGAGGAGTTCAGATTTCATTCCTAAAAAGGAAAGCCCTGGGAAGCTTTCAGCAGAGGAAAGGCATACTGTGATTTACATAAAAACAAAAACCACTGTAGAAAAAAGAGGATCACTTGAGCTTATGGAGTTCAAGATCAGCCTGGGGAACTGGGCAAGACCCTATCTCTACAAAAAGAAAACGAAAGATACCCAATAAACTCCACGGAATAAGAGAGTGGGAGTAATTTAATATATTCTTCTTTTTTTTTTTTTTTTTTTTTAATATTTCTAAGAGACAGGGTCTTGCTCCACCATCCACGCTGGAGTGCAGTGGTGAGATCATAGCTTACTATAAGATCAAGCCTCCTGAGCTGGGCCTCAACGCATGTGGTACCACACCTGGCTAATTTTTTAAATTTGTATTTAAAAAACATTGCCTAGGCTGGTCTCCAACTCCTGGCCTCAAACAACCCTCCAGCCTCAGCCTTCTAAAGCACTAGGATTACAGGCATGAGGCACCATGCCAGGCCCTCATTAATTTTTTTTAAATGTTTGTCAAATAATCAAACATTACTCATTTTATTTTTTATTTTTAAAAGAATGCTTGTCATGTAAACCCCTACATTTGGAGTCAGACATCAACTGAAGGGAAAATTCCTTCCTTTTGCTGGAGTGTCCCAGGTCTGGTGGCAAGAAATGGTTTCTCTATACTGCCAGAATTCTTCCTGGCCCAGTCCGTGGCACCTTCTGTAAGGGAAAGATGTGTGTCCTGAAAGGCCCCACCATCTGCCAGTCTTGCTGAATCATTCCTTATGGCAGCCCCAGGTCTTCTCTGGTCCACCCCTGCCACAGGTGGAGTATTACACTTTAAATCAAAAACTAACATGAGTCTCAATCACTTTTCTACCACCTTCAACAGGTTCTTCCACCTCCTAAACAGCTTAACTTATCCAATGCTTGTGTATACTTTTTCTCACCTCAACCTGCAAAGTGTACTCCCATCTAAAATAGTCACTGCCACCTTCTACCAAAACCACTTTCTTACCACCAGTTCACCAATTCCTCAGGGCTCCAATTCTTCCAAGAAGTTTTCTCTACAGTAATAACAGGGGCATCTGAACAGGGGATCCTATAACTTTCTCTTCACTTGCACTTGCTCACAACTTTTGTATTACCATCTAACTTAAGTATAAGCTTTCCAAAAACAAGGACCAGAATAACCTTAATTTGAAGAGTGCCAAGATTTGGTCACGCATGAAGCAATATTCAGCAGCTTTTGGGGCTGAAAATCCAACTGCTACTTGTAAGTGTTTAACAGTACTGGCTTCTTGACTTTTGAGGAGAAAAGCACAGTATAGTAACACTAAATTTACTTAGAGTTCTTAAGTACAATGCAAGCAGAGCTTGGAAGCAGCTAACCACAGATTCCCCAGGTTCTCTATGCTTTGTAGGCCCAGAAGAAATGGCAGGCTGGGTAGAGAGCGTCTATGGGGAGGAAAAGGTGGCAGAGCTGGATTGAGTAAAACAAGCCAAGCATGATATAGGTTCTCTTCTAACAGTTTCCCAGCAGCAGGCACTGTATGGAAAGTCCAGCTTCCGTCCCTTGGTTACTTTCAACCTCGCTCCTTTTTTTTATTTATTACTCTAATAAATAAGAAACAAGGTCGGGTGTGGTGGCTCATGCCTGTAATCCCAGCACTTTGGGAAGCCAAGGTGGGTGAGTCACAAGGTCAGGTGTTTGCCACCAGCTTACTCAACATGGTGAAACCCAGTCTCTCCTAAAAACACAAAAATTAGCCAGGCGTGGTGGCATACGCCTGTAATCCCAGCTACTTGGGAGGCTGAGGCAGGAGAATTGCTTGAACCTGGGAGTGGAGGTTGCAGTGAGCCAAGATCACGCCACTGCACTCCAGCCTGGGCAACAGCAAGACTCCATCTTGGGGAAAAAAAAGAAAGAAAGAAAGAAACAAAAGCAGACTCCAGTAATCCTGTCACAGGTATCATGGAAGGTTTTGGAATTTCAGCTTACTGATCTTCCTCTTCATCCTACTTTAAAACTTTCACTAAGCATCATTAAGCTTAATGGTTTACAAAATAAGAACAAGTGTGTATCTGCCAAGGCACACAGCGCTCAACACCACAAAGGCAAGGACATACATTTTATACTAGCTGTACCAACATCACAGGACTGAGGTTTCAGGGGACCTTTTCACTTCTCTTTCGATTACAGAAGGATTCTAGAATATTAGGGGCCAATTTGAAGACAGGAAGACTCTTGGAGATAGAAGTTTTACGTTCCAAAAATGGGAAGGAGATATTAAGAGCCAATACAGCAGGGAAATAGTCAATCTGACAGAGTAGGGGTCAGTTCAGGAAAAACCCAAGTGTGGTGACGGAGATAGAGCCCACTGGTGAAGTTTTATCACGGCAGAGAATGGCGGTTCTGATCCCCAGCTGTGTGAATGTGAACCAAAGCTCTTATGGAAGACTTGGCAGCGGGGTGGACTGATTACAGAGATGAAAGGAACCAAACAACCACCTCGCCGAGTACGAGCTAACATTGCTGAGTGCTTACTATCTGCTAGGCACACTGACAAACTGAGAACCGGAAATTAAATAACATGCTCAAAGTCACACAGCTAGTAAGTGCCAGAGCTAAGTTACAAACCTAGGCATTCAGTGTAGCTCCAGAGGCCTTACTCTAAACTGCTATACTATGCTGCCTCTGCACAGAAGATGAAGACTTCAAGAATGAGCAATGCTGGAGACATAAAGGGAACAGAAGTACAGTTAAATGCGAATTTCCTTCTACGTTGGGTACAAACAAGCGGGATTCACAGGGCATCTGGTAGAACACCTAAAAGGAGTCTGCCTCCCTAACAGGACAGGGAAAAGCTGCAGGAAGCAGGAAAAGAACAGAAGATTGAGTCGGACAGGCCAAAATGAATAAGTGAACTGCAAAGTGCACAGAAAGCAGTATCTCAGTCAGGGTCAAACACCACCTCGGAAGCTGGCCCTACTCAACAACCACCCAGGAGATACCATCGAGGCTTGGGACCCACGGGAAGCATCTGAAGCTACGAGAGGGAGAAAAGATGTGTGGGGAGTAGGGCTACAAGGAGCACTTTACGTGGCTTCAGGACTCACAGCAACTCCCTCGCCCCACATTTCAAGAAAACGAGACCCAGAGTTAGGTAACCAATTAGAAAAGTCTTTCTAATGTCACCGGAGTCCGAGCCTGGGTCTTCCCACCTCCGATACAGTGTCTCCATCTGCCTTTCCCGTTCTCCTGGCTGAGAAGCTGCACCCCCCGGCAACCACCAGGGCTTGGTACATTCAGTAGGCACTAGAGACACATTTATTTAATGACTGAGCGAGTGAGTGAATGAATTAAAAGTACTAGGGAAGGCGTCTGCTTCTCTGTACACTGCGGTGAGGGTCAGCGAGTGACCATAGTGAGCCCCTGGGCGGGCATAATATGAGGTCCCCAATGTGCCTCTGCCGGTTCTAGGAAGCACACGTCTTTATAGACTGCAAATCTCAGGGCAGCCCCGGCTTCCAAGTCTAGCGCCGACCGCGTAACCACTGCCGACCTGCACTGTTTCACGCAAGTCCCAGTCATGCGGGGCTCAAAAAGAGGTCCTCGACGTGGGTTCGCGGGCCCGAAGCACCCTGGGACTTGTAGTCCCCAACCGGCCCGCCCAGAGACTCCCCTAAAGCCCCACGCAGCCCTCGCCAACGGCTCCAGCGCCGTGCTCAGGCCGAGCCAGGCCGCGACTGCCCGGGGTGGCCCATAAGCTGGGGATCTGGGCGAGAACAGAGGCGTCAAGTAAAAGAGGGTCCTACAGAGCAAGCCCCGGCCGAGTGGGGCCGGCCACCGGCCAGATAGCAGCTGATGGCGACGGATGCGCGAGACGCCACTCACCATCATTTTGGAAGCTGATTCAGCAGCCCGCCACTCTCCCCTCTTCTCCGAGACCCGGCCGCCCAGCAACCCACAATGCTTCGCGCAATAGAAATACCCAGAAGATTGGGCCGGGAGAGGAAGAGAACGGACCACTTCCGCTACTCTATGGTTCGTTACCACCGAGTCGGTGCGGCTAGAAGGACCTGAGGCTGGGCTTCCGGGGCTCGCTAGTGACGGGTGGTCATTAAAGAGGGTGTCACCGCATTTCGGTCGTGCTACTTTGAGCACGGAGGGTCTTTGCTCGGCCCGCATCACCTACTAACTTAATTCCACCTTCCTCCATCCCCGGGCGCCAGACCAAGGAATGCAATAAAGGCAAAAGTGTGGGACGCAAAGTGTGGGATAGGCTGGTGCCAAAGCACTTTACGTGAGCGATCTCATTTAATCCTCATAACCCTATTGCGTTGGTCCTATTATTAAGGCCATTTTACTGATGAGAGAACGGAGGCTGACAGGTTACGGTGTCCAGTGTCATAGTTACACAGTGTCAACGGGGCGAGCGTGGGAAGCTGGCCCCAAAGCCCGTTTTCTGGCTTTGCACTGGCCAGAGGCTCCTCGTGGATGGCGTGCGCCAGGCCGCGTCCCCAGCGCCTATCCACGGTGAGGGCGCAAGCGTTGGTGGCACTGGGCGGAGAACTCCCTGGCGCAAGACGAGTGCCTTCCCGTGAAGGCGTGGGGAGGAGGGAAGCGCAGCTGGGAGAAGGCTAATCGTAGTCAAGCGAGGCGGCCTGAGAGTGGACAGGACCGAGACCGCAAGGACTAACGGCCATGACTATCGGCAGCTGAAGCAAGTCCGGTACCCGCACACCTCTAGTGTTTGTCCTTCGCGGCCCGCCCACCGCCCTCGAGGACCAGGAGAGTGGAGTCCAAACTGAGAAATGCTGGGGCGGGGCTGAGACGAGGGCTGGCTGTAGCTGTTAAGAGTTTAAGCCAATCAGCCCCCGGCTCCACTTCTCTCTACCAATAGAAAGTAGGCTAAGGCGCAGAGGCGGAAAGTGTGGCTACATGAGCAGGCGTCGGAGCCAATCAGCCGTGAGCCTCGTTCCCGTCGTCCAGCCCGCGGCGAGAGCGGGTATGTGGGCGGGAGGCCGGGGCAGCTGTCAGGCTAAAGTCGGGAGAGCGACGCGCGGCGGGGCGGCGGTAGGAAACTCGGCGCCGGGCCGGGCCCTGGAGATGGTCCCCGGCGCCGCGGGCTGGTGTTGTCTCGTGCTCTGGCTCCCCGCGTGCGTCGCGGCCCACGGTGAGCGGCAACGGGTGGGACTGCGTTGCAGGGCGGGGCTGGCCGTCCAGCTTGCGCCGCGTCTCGGGTTGGGGGCCACAGGTCACCTTGGGGACCCCGCGAGTTCGGAGCAGGACAGGTCTGGGAGCGGGCGGCCGGAATAAGTGGGTGGTGGTCCAGGGACATAAGGTGGGCGCAGCCTGAGGCTGAAGCTCTGAGTCCTCAGCTTCCCACGACAAAGCAGATCTCCCCACTCGCCCCTCCCCGCCCACTAGCGCCGACCCAGGTGACTTAGGGTGCGACCGGGAGGGACAGCTAAGGAAGATACTACAGGCTGGAGATATGTATGTGAGCACTCACATGTACAGGAGCACACATTCCTACACGTGGGCACACACGCACAAACCGTTTACACCTACACAAGCACATAAATGTATACATCTATGCACACACATGAGCACATACGTATACCCACAACTTACACAAATAAGCACACGCAAAGGCAAGCAAGGGTTGGGGAGGGACTGTTTGACGCTAGTCCAGGAAGGCTTTCTGGGGGTGTATTTGTATCTGACGGGGAGTCCCCACTCCCAGGACTGTATAGCCCAGTGCCAAGCCATGGGAGCTCTAACTGATGGCTTTGATTTGGGCAGTAAACAAAGACAGCTAAAGCCTTAATCAATCCGAGCCTTGGTACACAGTAGTGACTTAGTAGTTTGTTGATCAATGGACTTGTGACAGCAGTTTTCTTTTTTTTTTTTTTTTCTTGAGACGGAGTCTTGCTTTGTTGCCCAGGCTGGAGTGCAGTGGCGCCATCTTGGCTCACTGCAAGCTTCGCCTCCCGGGTTCACGCCATTCTCCTGCCTCAGCCTCCCGAGTAGCTGGGACTATAGGCGCCCACCAGCATGCCCGGTTAATTTTTTTGTATTTTTAGTAGAGACGGGGTTTCACCGTGTTAGCCAGGATGGTCTCGATCTCCTGACCTTGTGATCCGCCCGCCTCGGCCTCCCAAAGTGCTGGGATTACAGGCGTGAGCCACCGCGCCCGGCCATGACAGCAGTTTTCATCCTTCAACATTCCGCAGTCTCTCTGGGTTAAGGAAACCAGGGACTCAAGTCCAGGTACATTAAACTTTGGTGCTGGGGAGAAGATCCCATGCCCCAGAAAAATCTAGTTGTCTGGAAATTCTCTTCCTCGGTGCTATGGAGCTGGATATAGTTGTTGTTCATTCATTCAGCAAAATTTATAGGGCTACCCCTATATTTACTTATGAAGTTATGAAGTGGAAGAGACAGATATTTAAAAATTATGAATCCAGGGCGGGTGCGATGGCTCGCACCTGTAATCCCAGGACTTTGGTAAGCCAAGGTGGGAGGATCACAAGCCCGGACAACAAGGCGAGACCCTATTCCTATTTAAAAAATGGAAAAAAAAAAAAAATCAGCCTGGGCAACATGGCGAAACCTTGTCTCTACTAAAAAATACAAAAAAAAAAAAAAATTAGCCAGGCATGGTGGCGCTTGCCTGTAGTCCCAGCTATTTGGGAGGCTGAGGCATGAGAATCGCTTGAGCCTGCGAGGTGGAGGTTGCTGTGAGGCGAGATCGTGCCACTGCACTCCAGCCTGAGTGATAAAGTGAGACCCTGTCTCAAAAAAAGAAAAAGAAAAATTATGAAAGCTGTATAATTACAAATTATGTTGAAAGTCCCCATTTACTGAAGAGTATATTTGAATGGGTATGGGAGGGCAATCATGAGGCAGAACCTTTCTCTGAGGAAGTGACATTTAAGGTATGACCTGAAGGATGACTAGGAAAGAGTCAGGTAAAGGGGTGGAAGTAGGGTGGGGTGGGAGTAGGGGGCTTTCCAGGCTCAGGGAACAGCTTGCAGAAAGACCCAGAGAAGTGAAGAAACTGAAAGGTCTGTGTAGCTTGAACACAGGATGGAGAAGATGAGGTTGGAAGAGTGGTCAGGGGCCACAGCAAACAGGGTCTTGTAGGCCACAGTTTAAAAAGAGTTTAAATTTTAAATGCAAAGGGCAGTTATTGAAAGGTATTGAAACCCTAGGCATGGTGATGTGCTCATAATTGCTAAGATGTTTTCAATTTCTGGTGGTTGTTTGGGGAGCAAGAATGGAGGCAGGGAGGCCAGGTAAGAAGCTGAGCTGTCAGGACAAGAAATGATAGTGACTAGACTAAGGGGGTGGCAGTGGGACCAGAAAGTCAACTTTTAAATTTTAGTGAGAATTGCTTTGTATGCAGGTCACTCCATCTCTACCCTGAAACTCCCAGGTCTTCAGAGCAAAAATATTAACCCTGGAGCTCTCAGTTTTCCTGGCTTACTGTGTAAGCAGCAGCAGCTGATATAAACCTCTGGGGTTACTAACTCTGCATCAACTCTATCCTCCCCAGGACAGAGACTATCTAGCCCCCAACCCCACCACTAGAGGACCCCGTTGGCTGAAGCCAGGACCCTGCGTCCAGACTATAGCCAGCCCAGCTGAAGACACAGGGTCTGGGATCTGAACCTAAACCAGTTTGTTCCTGGGAGGCTTCTTACCTGTACTCTTTATCCTTCAGGCTTCCGTATCCATGATTATTTGTACTTTCAAGTGCTGAGTCCTGGGGACATTCGATACATCTTCACAGCCACACCTGCCAAGGACTTTGGTGGTATCTTTGTAAGTTAAGGGAGACATCTGATCTCTGATCCTCAACCTCCCTCCTCCCCTCACTGAGCTGCAGTGACCCTCTCATCCCACCTGAGTGCGGGACAGGGAACGGAGCAGAATCAGCTCTGCCTTCCATGAGCTGCAGCACAGAAAGGAAGCTCTTCCAGCTACTCCCGAGTATAATATAGACCTAGGCACCATGGAGGGACAAGTTGTCTTTTTAGGGGACATGAAGTGAAAAGCCAAGAGCACCAGCTTCCTCTGCCAACTCCACCTCTGAACTATGTGACTTAAGGCAAGTCACTTCCTCTCTCTGGATCTACAACCAACTCCCCTGCCTATCTCATGGAAGGGTAGGGTGGTGTAGGACAACCAGATAGGCCTTTGCGATAATTAAGTAAGAATGTTTAAGTGTCTGGCGATACAGAAACCACTCCATGTTTCCTTCACACTTTACAAGGTGCCAATAAGATGGGATTGTCAGCCCAGTCCTAAAGCTGGTATGTCTCATTACAGTCTCACCTCTCTAAATGTTAAATGTTTTTCAGCACACAAGGTATGAGCAGATTCACCTTGTCCCCGCTGAACCTCCAGAGGCCTGCGGAGAACTCAGCAACGGTTTCTTCATCCAGGACCAGATTGCTCTGGTGGAGAGGGGGTAAGGAATGGGCAGGCAGGACATGAGGGTTGAGCAGGCATAGGGCAGATTCTGAGATTACTGGTGGTAGTGCTTTGAAAGAGCTGTTTTTGAAAATTTCATCTTTTTAAGGGTCTTTGAAAAATGTCTAGCTTGGGCCAACATGGAGAAACCCTGTCTATACAAAAAATACAAAACTCAGCTGGGCACAGTGTTGCACACCTGTGGTCCCAGCTACTCAGGAGGCTGAGGTGAGAGGATTGCTTGAGGCCACGTTAAGGCTGCAGTGAGCCGAGATCATGTCACTGCACTCCAGCCTGGGCAACAGAGCAAAACCTTGTCTCAAAAAAAAAAAAAAAAAAAAAAAAAAAAAACACAAAAGTTCTAAAATTATCCATGCTTTTAGCTATTTACTTATGAGCCTTTATAACAAATTCTTCAGAGTCTGCCTTCTGTACTCCCAGGGTGATGGTCTGGTGAAGGGGGAGCTAGGACCTGTCTTTCCTTTGGTCTCATCACCACCTCTTCCAGGGGCTGCTCCTTCCTCTCCAAGACTCGGGTGGTCCAGGAGCACGGCGGGCGGGCAGTGATCATCTCTGACAACGCAGTTGACAATGACAGCTTCTACGTGGAGATGATCCAGGACAGTACCCAGCGCACAGCTGACATCCCCGCCCTCTTCCTGCTTGGCCGAGATGGGTGAGGGCTCCTTGCCTCTGGCTTTATCAGCATGAGGCTGGGCGCCATGACTTGGGGAGGTCAGGGGTAATCACCAGTCCCTTCTTGCAGGCCTCAACTTGGGGTACTTCAGTTAGAGGGTAAAAAAAGTTCTTGGGCTTTGAAACTCCCAGACTGATGGGGACAGTGGGGCATGATGGGGTACCAAGAAAGTGACCATCACCACTTCTCTTCATGCCCTCCCAGCTACATGATCCGCCGCTCTCTGGAACAGCATGGGCTGCCATGGGCCATCATTTCCATCCCAGTCAATGTCACCAGCATCCCCACCTTTGAGCTGCTGCAACCACCCTGGACCTTCTGGTAGAAGAGTTTGTCCCACATTCCAGCCATAAATGACTCTGAGCTGGGAAGGGGAAACCCAGGAATTTTGCTATTTGGAATTTGGGGAGAGCATCTGGGGACAAGTGGAGCCAGGTAGAGGAAAAGAGTTTAGGCATTGCTAGGCTGAAAGGGAAGCCACACCACTGGCCTTACCTTCCCCAGGGCCCCAAAGGGTGTCTCATGCTGCAAGAAGGGGCAAAAGACAGGCCCCAGGGCTTCTGGCTAAAACCTGAAACAAAAGGAGCTGAATGTAGGCAGCCTGAGAGCCATCTGTGACCTGTCACACTCACCTGGCTCCAGCCTCCCCTACCCAGGGTCTCTGCACAGTGACCTTCACAGCAGTTGTTGGAGTGGTTTAAAGAGCTAGTGTTTGGCGACTCAATAAACCCTCACTGACTTTTTAGCAATAAAGCTTCTCATCAGGGTTGCAACTGTGTCCTAGAATAAGAGCACACAGGGGTGGGCAGGACCTTCAAACTCATTCATCTCATCCTATACTGTCGTTCTGAGGAAAGGAAACACCCACAGAGGACAGAAACTGGCCCAGGTCATTTGGGACCAGTGCTCAGACTGCTAGTCTTGGATCCCAGCACAGCTTCCTGTTGAGAACCAAGGACGCTCTGGGAAGCCAGAGTTCAGCCCCTCAGGAGAAGACTCATGTTAGAGCATGGGGATCCAAACTGGACCTCAGGGCCAGGCATGGTGGCCCATGCCTGTAATCCCAGCACTTCGGGAGGCCAAGGTGGGAGGATCACTTGAGCCCAAGAATTCAAGACCAGCCTTGGCAACAACATAGCAAGACCCCATATGTACAGAAAAATTAAAAATTAGCTGGGTGTGGTAGCGTGACCCTACAGTCCCAGCTACTCAGGAGGCGGAGGTGGGAAGATCACTTGGGTCCAGGAGTTCAAGGCTGTAATGAGCTATGATTGCATTTCTGCACACCAGCCTGGGTGACAAGGTGAGACCCTGTCTCAAAATTAAAAAGCCACCCAAACTGGACCTCAAGACCCTTGCTCTTGGGCATCAGAACATTTGCATAGCAAAGTGTAAATAAGAGCAGAGGTGAGCCCAAGCTGGTGAGCCTGGAGCCCCCATCTCCTACCATTACCTGGTCTAATCAGTACCCCTTTGCACCCACCTGTGACTGCTGCACGCCTGGGGCAGCCTGCCCAGCCACTAGCCACAAAGCATTCCTGCAGAGGCCTGTCACCACTTACGTTTTATTGAGAACAGTGGGGGGCAGAGGGGGAGTGCTGACTGTTGTGAAGGAGTAAGAACCCAGTGGGTAAGGGGCCAGACAGGTTCCACCTGGCTCCATAGTCCAGAAAAGGGCCTGTGGGGTGGACACCTGTCCTCTCTGGGATCCCTCAGCAGGGGAATGTGGCAGGCTCCTCCAGGAAAGGGAGGCATTGGGAATGATGGGTTGTAATTCCCGTAACATCCAACCCAAGAGTGAGAGGGGTGGTGCTAATCTGGGGATAGGAGGGGACAAGACAGGGCTACTCTCCAAGTATCTAGCCCAGCTCCTCAAGGTTTCTGGAAGACTTCAGTGTTCCTCTGTGGAAACCCTAAAGATGGAGATTGAGGCCAGGAGAGCCCCTCACTGACCCATTTTAACTGGCCCCAGGAATACCAGAGCATCCTAATCTAAGGAGCAGAGGCCTGTCAAGCCCCAGGTCTCAGCCATGCTGCTGAGTGCTCATTGGGAAGCAGGTGTGAGAAAGGGTGATGACCCCCGATGTGTCCCTCCTGAGGAAGGCAGAGGCCTTTTCCATACTCCATAGGGCCAGCCACTATGCCAGGTCCTGAGAGGCAAGGCACGAGTTAAAAAGATTCTGGAGTCTGGAGAAGGGGTTAATCTCCACTTCCCCAGATGACCAAATGGGGGTGTGAGTAATCCCCCTGTCCAGCATTCCCAGGAGACAGCTTCAGGGAAGGAGCTCAGGAGGCCCAGATCCTCCTGCCCGCCTCTCCTCGCTGTGCCAGTGGTCAAGCAGTTGCCTTACCAGCCACAGCTGTGGTGAGGGGAGGTGAGGGCGCCTCACCACCTCCCCTCTCTGCTTCAATGAACTCGGTCTCAGATTTACACCCTCAAAAGAAATCAACAGCAAGTTGAAAGGGGAGAAGCCTCCGGTGAATGGGTGAGTATGGGCCGTGGGGCCGAGGAGAAGAAACGCTGTTAGGCCCTGGCCCTGATTCCAGCCCCTCAAACCCTAGAGTGGAAGAACCTCAAGGGGAGGCCAGTTGTGAAAAGCTCAGTGCCAGTGCAGAGTCTGAGCCAACTCAGCAGCAGTGTCCAGGGCATGAGGTCTGGTGGGGGTTGGGGCCAGGGATCCAGGCTCTGTCCTACCCTCTGGCAGAGAGGGCTCGAATGGGGAAAGCAGGCAATGGGAGTGGGAAGTTCCCTCCGAGCCATTTCTCTGGGGGAAGAACCCCTTTTATGGCAGGGTCTAGGGCAGGGCCCTTTCTGGGCAGGGCAACATCACACATCAGTCATCTCATCCCCCAGCTCTGCATCTTCTGGCTCTCCTTCCTCCTCCTCCTCTTCCTCCTCTTCCTCTTCTGAGGTCACATTGGGTTCATCAGCCTCTGCCAGGCATTTGGGACAGGAACAGACAAACAGATAGTTCTCCCTGCAGCAGTGAGGGATGATGAGGGGGAAAAGTCAGGGAGCTACGGGACAGAGGACCCCAGAGCCCAGCCGCCCAACCATGTCCCCAGCTGGCACCTGAGGATCTTGTGGCGGCTGTGGCGGCTGCGCTCCCGCTGACAGCAGTCCAAGTAGCTGATACAAATTTCCTGTAGGGTAGAGAGGTGCAGTCTGATGGTCTGTGCTCTCTTAAATGGCATAAGGGTCTCCCCAACACCTACCCTATCTCCAACCACTGCCCCATCTCTAGGAGCCAGGCTTGCGCTGCCCTTCAGTGAAGGGGCAGGCTGCCCTCATCCAGTTCCCAGTGCCTTCAGTAGGCAGGCCACTATAAGCCTCCAACAGCCTGTGCCTGAGACAGAGGAGACTGGTTAGCCTCGAGCCTTGGTGAAAACTGTCAATGGCCAAGGTCTGCAGCTGGGATCACAGGTCTTGTTATCGATGCTACGTACCCTGAAGAAGATGCAACGAGGCACTGTGCCTGCACTAACAGACAAGACCGTAAACCCACAAAGAGCTATCTCCTGCTTTCTTAGAAACTACATATCTGCATTTGACCAAAAGATAGCTGGGGACAAGAATCTGAGCACATATGTGTCCCTCAAACACTGTCCTGAGGCTTTCTGGAGTCATATTTTGAAAAAGTGAGGTAGGGTTAGAACAGAACCATGAGCTGAAAGACTCAGACCCTAAGGTATGTGGGGATTCCACCCAACAGCCTGAACTTCAAGTGCTCTAGCCACTGCTGCTCCTGATCCCTGCAGAGAACTTCCAAGGCCCACTACCCACCCATCCCCATGGTTCCTGGCCCCTCTCACCTCTCCTGGCTTAATATCCTCCAGAGCAGTGACATGCAAAAGGAAGTTGTTTTCTGGAAAGGAGGTCTCTGCATTGGGCACACAACTGTGGTTGCCTGGATCACAAGAGGCAGGTAATGAAGATTACTGCCTAAAAAAAATAATAACCTCAATTCTGCAGAGCACTGGGTCCTTTCTTGCTCTTTCATCCCTGCCAAGGCTGAGCACGTTTTGACCCAAGTTTCCAGACTCTGCTTCCAGTGTTCTTTCCTGAACACCATACAGCACAACACAAATGAACTCCACAGCACTCCCACTCCAACCCGCTGTGACTGGCCAACTTCATTCTCAGTCATGTTCCCACTGTCTCACAAAGGGAGGGACAGGGCTCTGAAGGAATGCCCACCCAAGACCACTTAACTCAGTTCTGCCTGCTATTGGACATCTAGTAACAGCTGACACAGGCTCTCTGAGAATCCAGTCTGGGAGAGTAGAGTGGCCCAGGAGCCTGGGAGGAGGAGTTTGCAGTCAGGAAACCAGGGGGTGGGAGGCTGAAGTCTGGAAAAGGCAGCTGTCTGAGCTGAATCTGCCCCTCCTCATCAGGTGCTGATGAGACTCGCCCTCTAGCCTGGGCTCGCAGTACTCCCAAATCTCACAGGGCAGTGATGGTGCAAAGCCCATGCATCCCTTTGCAAGAATCAGAGTTCTATGCCTGCCTTAGTACAGGGCCTGGCCTGTTGTAAGGTTTTTTATATAATAAGCAGGTATTATAGCACAAACAGTTGGGTGAACAAATGAAAAAAATGATAGAACAAAAAGGCCCAGGGGAATTCCTATGGGAGCTCAGACCTAATGGGGCTCCCAGACTCAACCCTACCAGCCTAGAAAGGGCCAACTGAGAAAGATAAACTGTGGCTGCGAGGCCACCTGACAAAGGCGCGCCTAGGACCATCCCTCCTCAACGCCATGACTCACAGCAGCTCTGAAGCACAAAGAGGCCAGATCCTTCACAGTTAAGAAACTCTCCAGTTGCTGTAAGATAGTAATATACAGACATTATTCTACCCATTTTTATAGGTAGGAAAAGGAAACGAGGCTTACAAGGACAGGCACTGTCGCCACTGTCCTGCCACCCCACCACACTAAGGCATCAGTCCCTACCATATTACCTAAACTTGCCTCTCTCAGACAGAAGCCTTGCTTTTCTGTCTATAAGACACCCTATTTATCCAGCACCCCCTCTCCTCCCAGCATCAAGCCTCTGGATAAATCTTGGGGCTGTTTCTCACCTGTGTACCCTGTGGATAGAGCTGAAGCTCCCCATAGGTACAAAGGGATTACCTTCCCCCACCATTAATACAGAGCATCCTGGGCAAAGATTTTGTGTCCACCATCTGACTAGGGGGTCACCATGGTTGGGTGAGGCCAAGGCCCTATCTCACCAACCTGCCTCGATGTCCTTGTACAGCTGGTCAATGAAGATGTCAAGTTGCTCACGGTCCTGAGGCTTCAACTCCAGAGCGTCACAGGCATGGACCCACTGGCTTAGGGAGCTGGGGGTCCCAGGCAGCCCATGGTTGGGGAGGCGGAAGCCCAGGTCACAGGGCTCTCCACCTCCAGGTAAGTTAAGCCTAAGAAGAAGGGTCTCTCACCCTACCCCATTTCATTCTCCAGGGTGGGGGCCCATCTTCCCCAACAGAGGCTCCCCAAAACAGATTCCAATGCCTGATTCTGACTCCTGCCACTGTGTCCAGTTCAGTGATCTGCCCAGAGTCCTACCCTACCCCATCCCAGTCTTGAAAGGAACTGTGGCTACCTTCCTCAATCAGTTTCCCACCCCGAGAGTAAGTTCAATAGCTCTGGAACATTCTAACCTGGTCCCGATTCCTTGGCCATTGGTCCCAACAAGAGCAAAGAGAGACCGGAATCCATCTGGAGTGAACCACTGTGGGGGCAAAAAAGAGATAAAGAGATAAGCACTCATGTTAACAGCCACTTGCTTTTCTTCCAATTGGACTCTGTTCGGGAAGCCTTCTGTGAGTCGGGCTCATCCCAACTCCAGAAGACCAAGTCGGCTTTGGCTCAGCTGTCCCAGTAGGAGATGCTGACCTTGTTGCTCCTGGAAAGCTGGAGTAACAAGGCCACTGGTCCCACCCTCTCCTCACTCACCTGACTGACTGCTTCCTCATAGAGGGCCTCTGTGAAGAGTCTCCGCAGAAGTTCCAGTTGGCCCTGGTTTAGGGGAAGCAGAGAGAGATTTGTATCCCTGGAGATTTCCCATTAGCACCCAGGCAGGGCCCAGGCGACTAGGGAGGGAAGGAAAAAGGGCCAGCTCTGTAGACTGAGCTTTCCGTTGGGGCAAAGGAAGGCCACAAAGTCCACCTCCAAAGAGCTTTGGCAGTCTGCCGGCCTGTTCCAACCTGGGGTGGCAAACCCAAATTTCTCTCCATTTTCCAGCACTTGTACCAGCAAGGCTGAGACAGCCTGAAATGTCTATCCACACCACCACCATCAAATCTCCCTTGACCTGGCCTCCAGACCAGCTGGGCTCTCCCACTCCCTTCCTGTAAGTTCAGTGCAACAGGGCCCACCCCAGATGCAAACCTTTTACACACCTGCCTCCACCCTCAGGCAGCTCCTGCAGAGAAGTCTGCTGTCCTCAGTGAGGACCCATACTCTTTGATTGGGAATGGTCACTCAAGACATGGGCAGTTTCAAGCTGCTCTCTGATTCTGTGGCCCCACAACCCTCTAGTCTCCATTCTACCTGATTTGCCCACTGCTATCCTATGACAAGTCCTGCCTTCTAACACCAGTTAGGGAGCACTTTCAGGGCAGGGCATCCAACACTTCCTTCCTCTGTTGTCACCCCACTTCCCAACTGTGGGTCCACATGAGGTCATGAAGTAAACAGTGGCAGGAACATAAGTCCTCTGAATCTATTTCTGGACCCAAGTTCTAACTCCTTCCTGTAGCTGAGAAGTGATCAAATGTGGTGCTTCCCACAGATGGCCAGAGACATCCTAGGGTATTTGGGGAGGGAATGAGACAGGCCATGGGAGAAGAATAACCTGGAATTTGTCTCCCAGAAGTTTATGGACAATTTCCTCCTCTTCGTTGGCTGTTTTGTTACAGAACTGGGAGAAGAGCCTGATCCAACGGTCCTTGTCCTTCGCCTGCAGTGAACAAATATACGTAAGGGTCACAGACACCCAGCTTCTTACTGGCACTCCCGCCCACTTAGGAAATACCACCACACAGGAGCTTATAGGGGCCCTTCCTCTGCTTGAGGCTTCCTCCCAATGGTGCCCACCCCCAACCATCTCCCCAGCTGGAGCCCAGATAGCCAATTCAACAACACTTGGAAAACACGAGAAAGAGGCTGAGGAACAACATTAATAGAAGGGCGGTTAGAGTGGCTTCTCTCGCTTTATGTAAGACACAATCCTGAAAAAGTGGTGCTTATAAATCAAATGCATGAATTGCTACTGCACAAGGCATCTTCTGTATCAGAAACTATAGGCATACTATCACACTGGTCTTTAAGTTAAAAAAAAAAAAAAAAAGACTACAGGCAAAATGAGCCCTCCACTCCCTATGCCTGATTTATGTTTAGCGCATTCCTAAGGTTTTACATAGCAAGGAGCTCTCCTTTGGGAAGGCCAGGAAGAACTCTGCATCCAAGCTAGGGCTTTGAGGTGAGGAAAAGACCAAGACCAAGGGTTGAATGGGGCCAAAGTCAGCTTCCCCGAGAGGGTTGGGTGGGCTCACCTGCTTCACTGTGGCCACCATCCTGGCCATCAACATGATGCTTGCAGTCTCAGGTGGGTAGTGAACGCTCCTGGGGGAAGAGAAAAAAGATTGGCCTAGAAATTCTCTCCCTAGTAGCTGAGCTCAGGGAAGCCGAGTCTGACTGGTACAGAGAAAACTTCCTACCAACTCCATCAATTACCAAGAGAGAAAGTTCATAGGCAAGGACTTAGGCAAGACTTTGAATCCCAATTGGCTTAATGGGGCTCTTTCTGGGAGAGTGTTAAATGCTAAGGACAGAAGGACTGACAGCCCAGATTAAAAGCAGGGGATAGGGTGATGTGACTTCTGTTTAACCCTAAGAAAGGAGGAAAAACCCAGGGAACTGTAACTTAAGAAAGATGGCAACACCTGATGACCCCAGGCAGGCAACCTGAGAGGAAAGGATAAAGGAAAGAAGAGAGGAAAAGTGACCCACCTCCATGCCTCCTGAAGCTTATTGAGAGGATGCAAGGGGTCATCCTGGGAAGGGCCTGGGCACAGGACCTGGTGGTATTGCTCAGTGGCTGCCAGCCGACATTCTGCACTGCAGTACATCACCTGTTAGGTGGGATAGAAGTCAGTACCGTGCAGCACACCAACATGGCACAAGTATACATATGTAACAAACCTGCACGTTATGCACATGTACCCTACAACTTAAAGTATAATAATAATAAATAAATTAAAAAAAAAAAAAAAAAAAAAAGAAGTCAGTACCCTAGGATCTGGCCCTAGTATCACCTCCTCTAACTGCATTCCTTCCACAAATAGGCCCTGAGCTGTAGCTTAGATGTATTATGAGAAGAGAAAACATAGGGTGCTCTGGGGACATGTGAAAGGCACACCTAGGCTTACAAAACCACAGAAAGGGAAGAGAACTTTTCAGGTAGAGGGGAGAGCCCTTGCCAGGTCCCCAGGAAGAAAGCAAGCTCCCACCAAGCCCATTTTCCAGACAATGTAACTGTGCCAGGGAGGATGAAACTGGAACAATAACCAAGCCTTTTCAACATCTTATCCTACATTATAGGTTTCAAGGGCCATGACCAGGTCTGTCATTGCTCCTGTGTCCCCACTGAGGACTCCAGCTAAGGCCTCCCTCACCCACCCCCTTCTAGGTATACTCCCCAAGAATACTCACTTGGCAATGAGGACAGTTCTGGTGGAGGTCCTTGCGCACAGTGCACAGCTCTGGGTGAGGCAGAACCTGGCCTGGTTTCCCGGTCAGCCTCTGGGCATTCTCCTCTGCCTTCTCCAGTGCCCGAAGGCAGTGGTCACAGGCTGAGGGTGAGAGCCAGACACAACAATGTCTTGAGAATAGAGGCCATATCTATCCCTTTCACAGCCCTACAGAGCACCTGCTATGTGTCAGGCACCATTCTGGTGTTTCATAAAAGTTTGGGAAGTGAGTAAATGAATAATTACATGCATGCATGAATGAATGAATGAATTTCACATGCAGCCAAAGGTAGATGATCCCCGCCTCCCTCTCAAGGGCCTCCTGGCCCTTATTGTCTAACTTTCCTTGCTTTTTAATCAGACTCACTCTGTGGGGCTCCCCTACCACCCCAACACTGGGCTTTTCCCATACTCTGGGGCCAACTGACCCTCCTTTCATTGCGTGTCTCCAGCTTAAGAAATGTGTGGGCCGGGCACGGTGGCTCATGCCTGTAATTCCAGCACTTTGGGAGGCCAAGGCAAGTGGAGCACCTGAGGTTAGGAGTTCAAGACCAACCTGGCCAACATGGTGAAACCCCGTTTCTACTAAAAATACAAAAATTAGGTGGACATGGTTGTGCGTGCCTGTAATCCCAGCTACTCAGGAGGCTGAGGCAGGAGAATTGCTTGAACCTGGGAGGCAGAGATTGCAGAGAGCCGAGATCGCACAACTGCACTCTAGCCTGGGCAACAAGAGCGAAACTCCGTCCCCCTCCCCACAACTCCAAAAGAAGAAAAGTGTGAAAAATGCATGTGGTCAGCAAAGCCAAGGGCATCCTACTTGTGCTCACCCCTAACTCAGCCTTCTTTGAACAGGGGCCATGTAGCCTCCTCTTGGTGGAGGATTCCACTTTGGCACTGGGCCTTCAGCATGACCATGGAGTCAAACTTGCCTGAGTCCTGCTGTGCTCCCTCAAGGAGCACATCTGAAGAGCCTCCCACCACAGGAATTAGCCTCAAACACCTGAGACTGGACAGAGGCGTGGTTCTCAGGCATAGTCCTTCAATGGAAGATAGCATTTCCTCCCAACACCCAGAGTTCCAGAGACATCAGCCAGTAGGGATGTATGCAGCTCACTTCCATGCACAAAGGCAACTGGGCCCAGCAGCCATAAGGAGTAGGAGAGCTGTACTCACCTCGGTAGCGATAAAGTGCATTCCAGAGAAACTGTGCAGCCACCAGGGGCCGTTCTACGAAGATGGTCTCCCCCTTCCGGATCAGCTGTGTGGCAAACAGGCCCTTTCCCTAAGAGGGCAGAGGGATAGGATGGCTGTAAGAAGGAACAGAAGACATAGCTCCAAGCGCTTCCAGGAGGCTGTCCAGCCTCACTCCCACATGCCTCACTCTTAGGAGAGGCCTCTGCCTCTGTGAGTTCATGGAGACTGGTCAGTACCCTCCATAACTTTCTCCTCTGGAAATGCAGCTCTGACCTATTTTCAGTTGCACTCCTTTCAGCCCATTCAGAGCAGAAGGCCTGGAACAGGGAGGAAGCCACAATGGCAGTCATCTCAGATTACTCAGAGAAATTTTCTGAGTATGGCCAGAGCAGGGCCAAGGCTTATAGCAGGCTGGGGCCTCCAGTACCAGGAGCTGGTAACAGCAGGGCACTCATCTCTCAGTCAGCCACATGCCACTCCAGGATCCTGGCAGTGGTGTTGCTACACAGGGCTGCAGAGAAATCCTACACCATGGGATAGGGAAGCCTTGTTTGGGGGAGAATGTGCCCTCTTCCTTGGTCAGCTGAATACCCACAGCACCTAGCACAGTGCCTGGCATCCAACAAGTCCTTGGGGGTTGCACTGAAAGAAAGGAGCTAATACTAGTACCAGTCCTAACATTAACTTGCTGTGAACCTTTGAGCCAACTGCTTCACTTTATATCTGTTTCCCATTTGAAAAGTGAGCATTATAATACCTACAAGGTAGTTTCCAGGGTGCAACGATATAGCACAGATGAATGTACCTTATGAGCTCTAGCTTCTTCCTACTCAATGAGAGGTACAGGGACTGACAACATGGGCATCACCTAGGACTCTGTTAGAAATGCAGAATCTTAGGCCCCACCCCAGACCTGCTGAATCAGAATCTGCAGCGTAACAAGATGCCCAGGTGATTCACATGCATGTTAGTTTGAGAAGCACTGGTCTAAAACACTATATACATCATGTGAAGGATGAAAGATGAGAAAACAACCCCTGAACTGCCATCTCTCAAATGTGCAAAAGGACTCAGCAGATGGCTTCAGAACCCAGGCAGTTACTGGCCTTATTGGGCATATACTCCCACTACTCAAAGAAGATGTGTGGAGCCCTGCCAACACTGAGCTGCCACAACAAAAGGAGAGGAAAAAAATGCTTGACACCAAAGCAAAATGACATGTCAGTGTTGCCTCCCAGGTAGCTCCCTGACTCCTTAGAAGGCCAGATAGGGTTGCTCTCAAACTCAGAGCGAAAAATCTCAACCCTGTGAACAACTCTGGAAGCTCTATCTCACAGTAGAATGGGACAGGTGAAACAAAACCAGAAGGCAAAGCCCTGGGCACACCCTTGCCTGGCTTCCTGGAAGCCCTTCCCCCTACGCCTTGTATCCCGTCCCAATCTAGCAAATTGAAAACTTGGCCTTCCTCTATGAGACAAGACAATATGAACAGGGGACTCACATTATTTCTGACAATCTCAAATTTCAATATTGGACAAATATAGATCTCCCTCTCTTTGTGAAGGACTAAATGCAGAAAATATTTAGTAATCAAAACAAAGAGAAAAGAATCTGAGTTGTTCCTTTATAAAGTCACTCATTCCCAAAACTGATGAGCATATTTCAAGGAAAACAGAGCTCTAACTCATATTAAGGTTGGGCCAGGTGCAGGGGCTCACGCTTGTAATCCCAGCACTTTGGGAGGCTGAGGCGGACGGATCACGAGGTCAGGAGTTCAAGACCAGCCTGAACGATATAGTGAAACCCTGTCTCTACTAAAAATACAAAAATTAGCTGGACATGGTGGTGTTCGCCTATAGTCCCAGCTATTTGGGAGGCTGAGGCAGGAGAATCACCTGAACCCAGGAGGCGGAGGTTGCAGTGAGCCAAGATTGCGTTACTGCACTACAGCCTGGGTGACAGAGTGAGACTCCATCTCAAAAAAAAAAAAAAAAAAAAGAAGGTTGGAGAGCACTGAACCTGAATGAAAAGGGACAAACCATACATCCTTCCAATTTGAAAAAAAAAGTATTAAAAAAAATCATGCAGGCTGGATGTGGTGGCTCATGCCTGTAAATCTAGCACTTTGGGAAGCGAGGATGAAGGATCGCTTGAGCCCAAGAGTTTGAGACTATTCTGGGCAACATAGCAAGACCTCATCTCTATTAAAAAAAAAAATTGTGCAAAACTCTAAGACTATGTAGTAGTTTTTTTTTTTTTTTGAGACGGAGTCTCCCTCTGTTGCCCAGGCTGAAATGCAGTAGCACGACCTCAGCTCACTGCAACCTCTGCTTCCCGGGTTCAAGCAATTCTCGTGCCTTGGCCTCAGGGAGCTGGGATTACAGGCATGCACCACTACACCCGGCTAATTTTTGTATTTTCAGTAGAGATGGGGTTTTACCATGTTGGTCAGGCTGGTCTCGAACTCCTGACATCAAGTTCAAGTGATCCGCCCGCCTCGGCCTTCCAAAGTGCTGGGATTACAGGTGTGAGCCACCGGACCCGGCCTAATTTTTGTATTTTTAGTAGAGACAGGGTTTCACCATGTTGGCCAGGCTGGTCTTGAACTCCTGACCTCAAGTGATCAGCCCACCTCAGCCTCCAAAAGTGCTGGAATTACAGGAATGAGCCACCATGCCCGGGTAGACTATGTAGTAGATTTTAAAATCTTGATTAAAAGAAGAAAGCCCACAATAAGCCATGCTGCTATCTGGCTAGTGCACCAGTATGGTAGTCCAGCTGGCTTCCACTGGACCTGGTGAGGTTTCTGTTCTGATTGGTCATGTCTCTGGCATAATAGTTGATAAATTTTTGAAAAGTCATTGCTATCCACAGAAGCAATAAAAAGTAGTCAAAAACTACTCCCACTTAGGGCCCTGGTCTATAAAGTTTCAGGACCCAATTCTCTCAAACCGCTATTTAAACAATGTAATGACAGAAAACACGCAAAGCTTTTTTATTTTACCAAAAAAAAAAAAAAACAAAAAACACATACACACACACATATAACCCTCATGTGGTAACTTGAGGAAAATAACACAGAGAAAAAAAATCACAAACCAATCTTATTTGAATAGAGAAGCAAAAAGCCCAGGATAATCCACGCTGTTACCAAGTCCAGGAAGGTATGTTATTTTCTCCAGCTGCAGATCAGATACAGGCAAGGAAAGGGCGATCGGCTGGGGCCTTGACAGATGCCTGGGCCAGGAAATCTGTGCAAGGAGAGTGGCTGAAGTGATGAAGTGAGAGGAAAGAAATGAAGAGAGGAAGGGGCTGAGAGACTGGGGGCTAATGAAGAAAAAGGTGAGGAAAATTACTGCAAACCAAGAATGATGGAACTGAGACATCTTCAAACTGTGGCCACCCAGGAACACTAGAGACTATGGAGATGGAGATATGAACAGGTAAGGAGACCAAGGATGTAGGGAAGCTGATTTACCAGGGAAGGAGCAGAGTGCTCCAGATACCTTTGGAGCAGAAGGGGGGCAAGGGAAGGTTGGGCTGGGAAACTAGATCAATACGATAATGCTGAGAGCAGATGACAGACAACTAGAGACCTTAGATAATGCTGAGAGCAGATGACAGACAACTAGAGATCTTACATCTTGGGCAAGAAACATCGATACACACAGCCACTACACAGGATAAATTATTCAACCTCACTAGTAACCAAAGAAACATAAATGAAAACAAATATCATTTTGCACATATCAATAGGCAAAGATAACTAGGAAAAAAATAGTGCTGGACAAAACAAAAGGATGTTTACATAGAAAATGAGCTCTAAGATTTTTGACTCCAGGTTTCAAAAATACAACAATAAAGGGTCCATTAATAAGGGGTTGGTTGAGAGGGTTGTGGCCCTCTCACGGAAGAAGCTACTACTCACCTCTTAAAAATTAATATGTAGAAACAGGCTTGATATTGAAAGACTCACTGCTGCATCAAAAAGCAATTTCTAAAAATGTAATTTTAACGTACACATCTTTGCACAAGTATAGAAGTATGAGTGAGTTTTATATTTTCTTTCCTAACACGCATTTTCTATTTTTTTCCACAATGAACTTTTGGAACACAATAAAAACGACAAAATCATGTCACCTTCCGGCTAAAAATTCTCCCAACGCCCCCACGGCCTTTGGACTCTGGTCCAAATTCCTCAGCACTCCAAGGACCTTCGTGAAGGGTCTTGGCCTGTCTCCTCATCCCCCCACCAAATTTCATACATTAAGTTCGTGAGGACCCACACTCTTTTACACCTCAGTTCTCTCTGCCCAGCACCTCCCCGCCCACCGTTCCAGGGACCCAGCAGCAAAGCCCCCTAGCCCCGCCCCGAGCAGTCACAGCAGGGCCTCCGGCAGGCTGGCCGGATTCCGCTGGGAGGAAATGCGCACGGAGACTCCGGAGGCCCGGGTCTATCGCGTGACCGCACCACGAGCCTGCGCGCGGGGACAGACTGGGAGCCCCCGGGCCGCGAGCAGGGGCCGGGCCGTAGCGTCCGAGCAGCACGGAAGCCTCTAGGCTGCGGGCATGGAGTCCTGCACGGCTGTCTCCGTGGCCGGACTGGGCTGAGGCTCCCGGCAGGACCCGCCCCGACCTCACCTTGGCGCTGCTCACGAAACGGACTTCCACGGAGACCCGGGCGCGGCCCGCCACGCCCACGCAGAAGGAGAACACGTCGCACGTGGAGGCCGCCATCTTGGCGCGCCTCCGCCTTGTGACCCTTAACCCCACCTCGACCTGCGAGGCCCCACCCCCTTCTGGCCCCGCCCCCGGCGAGAGTGCCTCGGAGGTTGCGAGGTTTTGCGCTCCACCAAGTCTGAATTTAGGTGCCGTGGTTTGTTGACGGGAGTGTCGCTGGGCCTGCCTTTGTGCTTTTACATCGGTACCTTTCTGTGTCTGTACCTCTGTATCAGAGTCTGTGTACGCGTACATAGTTTTGATGTGTGTATCTTTGAGTCCGTGGCATGTTTTTGTTTTTTTTTTTTTGAGACGGTCTCACTGTCGCCCAGGCTGGTGTGCAGTGGCGCGATCTCGGCTCACTGCAACCTCTGCCTCCCAGGTTCAAGTGATTCTCCTGCCTCAGTCTCCCGAGGAGCTGGGCGTACAGGTGTGCGCCACTAAGTCCAGTTAATGTTCGTATTTTTAGCGGGTTTTACCATGTTGGCCAGGCTGGTCTCGAACTTCTGACCTCAAGTGATCCGCCCGGTTCGACCTCCCAAAGTGTTGGGATTACAGGCGTGAGCCACCTCGCCCGGCCTACGATGCATGTTTCTGTGTATGTTGTCTCTGTCCACACAGTGGCCTGTCTTCACTGAGTAAAGCGCTCTCTGGACCCAGCCCTAGAGTGGGACAGCAGAAGGCCAACTTACTCCTATCCTCCCTAGCTCTCAGCCTGAAGGGAAGGACTAGCTTATACCCCGGAGCTCACTCACCGCACCTGAAGAGTCCAGGACAAGATTTCCTTTCTCGGTAATCCCTCTGGCAGCGGGGGAGACAGTCCTGCCAAAGGTCAGGGTGGACTTGTGCCTCTCTCAGATTCTTCAGTGGCTTAGGGACCTTGCAACCCGGGGGTAGTAGAGGAGTCCATAGTGGACCTCAGGTCTGAGAACCTCTGAAACTGGATACAGAAGTGAGTGTGCATATGCACACACTGTCGTGAAAAGGGGGAGGGGCCTGTTCTCTCATTCAAGACCCCAAAAAGCTGCAAACCACAGACCTATGGCATTTGTCCCCACAGCTAGGCCTGACTATCAAGCCTTGTTTTGTTTCCTTGTCCCCTGATTTTGTGTGTTTTGTTTGAGACAGGGTCTCGCTTTGTCACCCATACTGGCATGGGGCGATCTCGGCTCACTGCAGCCTCCAGCTCCCGGGCTCAAGAACAGACTGGGCAACGTAGTGAGACTTCGTCTCTCCAAAAAATAGAAAAATTTGCCGGGCATGGTGGTGCGTGGGAGGATCATCTGAACCTGGGGAGGTCGAGACTGCAATGAGCCGTGATCAAGCCACAATTATCTATCACATAATTATAGATAGATAGATAGTTGACAGGGACAGAGAAAGGTTCTTGAAACTGACCCTGCCTCCCCTCAAGCCTGCAGTCTGGTGTCAAGGAGTGAATAGTCCACGGACTTGGGAAAGATAGATAGTTGGCAGGGCCAGAGAAAAGGTTCTTGAAACCGACCCTGGGTCCCCTCAAGCCTGCAGCCCGGTGTCAGGGAGCGAATAGTCCACCGACTTGGGGCAAACCTACCCCGAGAGCAGCTAGGGGCCGTGCCCTCACTCACCACCAGGTGGCAGGGCAGGCTTCCCTCCACCCCTCAGCTCAGTCCCCAACAGCCATTCTAGAATCTGAATGGTCTGTGCTACAGAAATCAGCTCTGAAAATCCTGGCAGCAGGTTTCTTTCAGAGAAATCGAGCACATTCTTGAAAAAAAAAAAAAAAGGAGCCATGAGTCAGAGTCATGAAAGGGGGAAATTATAACTGTTCTGTGAAAACACAGCAGAGTTTATGACAAAATGCCAGCCTTGGCATACACAAATACTTCTATAAAAAGATGGGGCTTTGCGAGGCCAAGGCAGGAGAACCAATTGAAGCCTGGAGTTCAAGACCAGCCTGGGCAACAAAGGGACGTTGTCTCTACAAAAATGTTTAAAAATTAGCCAGGCGTGGTATCACGTGCCTGTAGACCCAGCTGCTCAGGAGGCTGAGGTGGGAGGATCACTTGAGCCCAGGAGGTTGAGGCTGCCGTGAGCTATGATTGCACCACTGCACTCCAGTCTGGGTGACAGAGCGAGACCTTGTCTTGGCTGCTGGGCCTGAGCTGCTGCTGAGAATGGTAACAGTTCAGACAAAACAAGAAAACGTTGGGAAATTTTGTGAAGTGGGCTAAACAGTTTTACCGTCTCCTCTTTGCTCTCAACTCCTTCTGATGGGGAAAGAGTCTTCTATGCCCAGATGCTTATTCAAAGAGGTTCCTTCTCCACAGCCAGGCCAGGAAAATATTAATTGCTGGTACAGGTATCACTCCCCCAGGTGAGAGGAGCTGTGATATTATGAAATATATATTTGGTCTTCATCTCGATTTCCTGGCATAGAACTCCTAAAATCCCTGGAATCTCTGAAGTGATGTTTTTCATATGCTAATGAGTTGACTGATGACTGATAGACCTTAAGACTCCATAAAAAACAAAAAGGGCAGGGTTGGGCTGGGTGGTGGCTTGCGCATGTAATCCCAGCACTTTGGGAGGCTGAGGTGGGTGGATCACAAGGTCAGGAGTTCAAGACCAGCCTGACCATATGGTAAAACCCCGTCTCTACTAAAAATATAAAAATTAGCCAAGCATGGTGGTGTGCACCTATAGTCCCAGCTACTTGGGGAGGCTGAGGCAGGAGAATCACTTGAACCCAGGAAGCAGAGGTTGTGGTGAGCCAAGATCGCACCACTGTACTCTGTCTCAAAAAAAAAAAAAAAATGGAGGGGCTGCCTTGTGGAATGAGCCCTCAATCTGTGGGGTCAGACACTACCTGCAGGTAGATCATGTCAGAATTTACTGAATTAAGAGGTTGGAATATGGGGTACACTCCTATACGTTTGGTCACAGAAGTGTTCTGTGTTGATTGTTGTGGGGTGAAAGCAAAAGAAAAACAGGTTTTTTTTTTCCATTTGGTCTTTTCTGCTCAGGGGCTTACAAGCCTTAACAGTAACCACACACTTCGCACTGTGCCTGGCACATTATTGCTTTACAGACCTCTTCTCACCCCGGGTGGTCTAAGTTATGAATGCACCCATTATACATATAAAGAAAAAAGGCTCAGAAGTTCCGTAGGTTGGCCAAGGACATAGTTGAAGGCGAGAATCTGTGCCTCCAATTATTACATTATTCCAGTTTCCAGAAATCAGTATAGAAAAGGGGGTCCCTGCTTGACAGCTCAGATTCCTCTGGTTGAGGAGGCTTTTTGTTGAAGTGTGAGGCAGGGAGCTCCAGTGGGTACCCCCAGGAGGAACTAGCCCAGGCAGCCTGGCTAGGGCCTCTGTCCCAGTCCTCAGCCGTCTACTCCTGACTCGGCATCATCACTCTGGATACTGGCGTTGGAGCTGCTGGAAGGCTCATCCAGGGAGGCAGCCTCGGCAGATGTAACCGCTGCCCTCAGCTTTTGCTGCTTCTGATACTTGACCCTGCGGTTCTGGAACCAGACTCTCACCTATAATTGGAGACAGTGGGCAGAGATCAGAATGTGACCAGCAGGTCCCACTGCTTCCCAATTCCTGGAGTGAACACCCCTCTCTGCCTGGCCAATATTTGCTCTTCCTTCTCAGGGAGGCACCTCCTCCAAAACACCCCTTTCTATAATTCCAGACACCATTCATTCATCCGAGTATTTACTGAGCTTCCAGGATGTGCTAAGCACCATCCTAGGTGATGCTGATACAGTGGCAAGCAACAGAGGCAAGCTGCCTACCCTCGTGGAGCTCAGGAGCTAGTGAAGAAACACTGGCAAGAAACATGTAAACAAACAAAGAGCTATGTAAACACAAAACGGGGTACAAACAGGGCTTTGGGTAGAGGAGGCCTCCCTGAGGAACCAGCACTAAAGCTGAGGCTCAAAGAGAGAGAGAGGCCCACCTGATGGGGACAGAGAAGAGCAGGCCCACAGGGCAGGGAACAACCTGTAGGAAGGATCTGAAATGGAACCAAGCTTGGAGTGTTTGAGAACCAGGAAGGAGAAGAGCATGGATGAGAGTGAGAGGAGAAAGTCAAGGGAGGGAAATAGGAGAGGTCAGTGGCTGCCAGATCACCCAGGACCTGGAAGGCCATATAGATAAGGAGTGTCACCCATGAGGCTTTTACGTGGGCCCACGTAATCCTATTTACATCCGAAGTGCACTGTGCACCTGGCTGCTGTGTGAAGCATGAATGGCAGCAGAAGCAGGGAGACAGGAGAGAGGCCACTGCAGCAGCCCCGGGAGAGCTGGGGCGTACATTAGAGGTGACGGAGAGAAGTGAAGCAACTCCAGCTGTATTTTGGAGGTGGAGATGACAAGACTCAATGATGGTTGGAAGCAGGGGAGGAGGAGGAATCTAGGATGATGGGGTTTTTGAGTAACCAGGTGGATGGTGGAGGCATGTATGGGAAAGGAACAGATTTGGGCAAGAAAAAAGTCAGGAATTGAGGTTTAGACTTGGGTTTCAGATACGTGCCATGAGACATCTAAGTGGAATCACCAAGAAGGTAGTTAGAGATATAAGTCAGACAAGATGGTTGTGCTGAGGATACAAATTTGGGAGTCATTGGCTTATAGATGGCATTTTAAGCCATGGGAATAGATGAGACCAGCTGGGAAGAGATTTCGAGGTCCCCAAGGGAAGGGTAGCCTGCCAAGGAGACAGAGCTGGGAAGAAAACCAGACAGCATGGTGTCTGGAGGGTATGAGGAACATGTTTCAATAAGGGATGGGGTGGCTGACTGTCCAATACTAAGAGCTGCTGAGTGGTGAACTGAGTTGAAGAAAGTAAAGTGTCACATTGTTGGTTCTGGCAACATGGAGGTTATTAGAGACATTGCTGAGAAGTTTTGATGGCATGGTAGGGAAAAGTCATGTTGGAATGTGTGAAGGAGTGGGAGGTGACGACACTGACAAAGTGAACATGGCAAGTTCTTGAGAAGTTTGCCTGTGAAAGGAGCAGAGAATTGACATAATAGCTGGAGAGGAATATAGGGGTGAAAGAAATATTGATTATAT